CAAGTCAAAGTCAAATAATCAATATTAACCATATCTTTCATGGTCCCACAACTTTTCAACCATACATTTCAAAAATTTCTATCACAATCTACTAAAAATCTAATTTTAATCCCCACCAAACACCCTCTAAATATTTAATGTAAATTATCAAAGCTTTATAATACCCTTTTTTCTGGTTGATCCACAAGGGGCAGCCGTTCCGACTTGTCAGGTGTTGGATCTGCCCTTTGCTGAGGTTTTATCTGCCAATGTCATGCATGATTTTTACGCTAAGTTTCGTATGGTAGTGGATTTCAGATTTGTTTAAGGAACAAAAAAATTGTTGTAGGGTATATTGTCATGGATTAAATCAATAAACTATATTAAAAGGGAAATTAATAATGTCAAATAAGAAAAACAAAAGAAAAAAATAACGTGCGATTTAAGGTAATTCAATCTCATTGCGAGAACTACTAGACTAGATGGCTCTATAGAACTGACTATATCAAAGAAGAGAACTAAAAATATGTTTTTTTACTTGTGAATCACTTTATATATCACACAAAGTGAATGCGTCATAATACTTTTATATTGAAGGAAAATATATGCTTTTGTTTGGGGGAGAAATTTTTTCAAGTGAAAAATAATTTTTTAAAGAATTTATGATTAAAAAAAGTATGGAAAAATTGTTAATTCCATAGAATGTGTACTTTTAAAAATGAATTTAGATAAAAATAATTTTGAAAAAAAATTCTCACCAATAAATTTTCTCCATTTATTTTATCTTTTTGACTTCAAGTAACCATACCAAGGGGACTTTGAAAATTTAAGGTGATGTTCTCTTTGCTGTTTTCAACTCATTTTCTGTTTTTGATTTTTCAAAACGGTGAAAACGCGTTCTCTTACTCGTTTTCGAAAACTAGTTTTCCAAAACACAAAAAAAAAAATTGTGAGGAGAACAGAAAACGACCAAAAAGCCGTTTTCTGTGTTTTCTTCACAAATGCACACTAAGTTAGAAAACACGGGAAACGGCTAGGCCCAATTTCCTCCCTGCCAAAACACTTCATCCTGTCTACTGCCAACCCACGCTCTACCTCTACTTTCCAAGCCCTAAACTCCGGCCAACCTCCTCCAAAACGGTCGGATTATGCTACCATTGTGAAGCCCTCAATCCCCTCTTTCATTACCACACAAACAACAATTCAATCTTATTCCAAAATCAATAAAAAAATCAACAAAAAACTGATTCGAAATGAACTGCTTCTACCGGAACCTCAACCTCCGGCCACACCCAAGGTCGTGCACCACCACCGGTCGATTGCCCACCCCCAGACGACTCCATCCATAGCTCCAATTTGCCCAAAACAACATGAAATTATTCTGAATTTTTCCCTGCACCAATCACGAAGACCGCGCTACATGGTCGGCAAATGACAGATTCAAACGCCGCCCGGTGGAAACTCGTGTATGTATTGTTGGGTATTTGAGAGAAGAGAGACGAAGGAGGAGGGGAAGAAGAGAGACGACAGAGAGAGATGACGAAGAGTGTGGGAAGAAGAAAGAGAGACGCCAGAGATGAATTCAATTTGGATTTGGGAGAACACGTTTTCATTTCCTCATTTTTTTAAAACAATTTCTCAAAATACCAAAAAGAACGCATTTTCAACAATTTCAAAATGGACACTGAAAACACAAAATACAAAATGAATTCAAAACTCAAAATACAAAATTGAAACATAAAGAGAATGGCCCCTAAGATTTCGCTTGCAGCTAACTCTGAGCTTGCTTCTTTGGTTGAGTGAATTTCCCAAATAGTCACTGAACTTTACGTCATGCTTCCAAGAGGTTACTGAACTTTTAAAATCACCCAAGTTATCATTGAACTTTGCAAAAGATTTTCACGAGGTCAATGAATTTTAAAAATCACCTCATTCATCACTGAACTTTGTAAAAAGTTTCCCATGGGTCACTAATTTAGTGATCTCCTATGAAATATTTTGCAAAGTTTAGTGATCCTGTAGAAATATTTTGCAAAGTTTAGTAATGAATGGGGTGATTTTTAAAATTCAGTGATCTCGTGAAAACCTTTTACAAAGTTCAGTGATGACTTAAGTGATTTTTAAAGTTCAGTGATCTCGTGAAAACCTTTTACAAAGTTCAGTGATGACTTGAGTGATTTTTAAAGATCAGTGACCCCTTGGAAGCATGACGTAAAATTCAGTGACTATTTGGGCAATTCACTCTCTTTGGTTCTATCCAACTTCGAGATGTTTATGGCTTTTACTCATTTTTCTTTTGTTTATTCTCTTGAGCCCATTTCCTTTAATTGGAAGGCATATTTTTAGGTTATTTTTGACTTTCCATGAAAGTAAAATTAATCCTAAAAGTAATTAGATACCAATATTTTGTTGGTTTTTTCTTTCAATATTACATGTTGCATGAAGAAAGACATTAAAATTGAGACAATTTTGTTTATAAGACAATTGAAAGAAACTATTTAATATCGTCTTACTTGTCTCAAAATATTTAGCGTCTTCATAGATGCCAACTTATTACATTGATAATTAAGACTTGGCATAACATTGGGAAAACAGTAAATAAAATAAAAATATGAACGAGAAAAGGAAAGTCTCACGAAAAATGTGTGGATAATAAATAAATAGTAATTAAGATATTATGGTTAAAACTAATATTTGACTTCAAATTATAAAGACATTATAATGAAACCCAAACAAGTGCAAAACAATAACAAATGAATTTCGTTGGATAATAATTTATAAATAGTTCATAAATTTTGTCAAAATCAAATATCAATTTAAATCACACATCCATAACTATTATTCATATATTAACCACACATTGTGAAACTCATTATTACTTTTATTACTATTCCTCTTTTAAACCATTTATAAATTTGGTAAACAACTGCCAAAATGAGAACAAATTATTTATAACTTACACATGATGCATAGATAGTTCGTATTTTTCAAAACAAGAGTTCGCCCATAGTTTTTTTTTTTTTTTAACTATCATTATTGAAAATACAATGATCATTTTCATGATACCAACACTTTGAATCACGAGAATAATAAGGGGTTGTTTGAGTCTCATTTTTGATAAAATAGATTTTGTAATAGTGATTTTTTTTAATTTTTTTGAGAATGTATGATTAAAAACTAGAGAAATTAAGTTTACGTGTAAAAATATTTTTTTTAGAGAATTTGCAGTTAAAAATGAGTTTGAAAAAAAATAAGTTTTTAAATAATGAAGATCAAACATGGGCTAATTGTTTAGCAAAAGAAATGCCTCATAAACAACTGTTATCCGACATAACAAGCTTTTCACAAACAATAATTATATTGCCCATATTTGACAACCATTAAATCAAAACTCTTTTTTTCCCTCAAACTAATTTCAACCATACATTTA